GCTCATCACACTCGAATATATCTATATGAATAAAGTCTGGTGCTTTTGAAACCAGATATAGACAACAAACTTGACCATCCGTACACAAACAATAAACATAATTCGCCGAAAATTCAAGACTTAATTTGTAGATACGGGTAAATAGTTCCATCGTACCTATTTCTTTAGCTTGGAGGAACGCAGAGATACCAAGTATAATACATTGATGATAAAAAAATATATACCTAGAAATGATGATGAGAACTATTTCAGCGGCAGTTAGGAAAAGATCACACAGGACACAAGGAGATCTAGTAAAAGTAAACAAAGCTGAATAAATAATAAAAATGTAATGAACATTGAAATTGATTACGCCAACTTAATTATAAATAGTATGCACACTTAGAAACTACGTTATTGTTGTCTTCAACGAACCTTGAGTAATTTTACATAATTTAAACTACTTTTAATGTTTCATTTCGGCACTAATATTTTCGTTTCACGACAAAATGCTCGATGTATACTATGCGACTATGCCGATGTTCGAATCCCGCAGACAAGTACCAATTTTTTTTATGAAATACGTACTTAATAAATATTCACGATTGACTTTTTATTTTTTATTTTTTTATTGCTGAGATGTGTGGACGAGCTCACCGCCCACCTGGTGTTAAGTGGTTACTGGAGCCCATAGACATCTATAACGTAAATGCGCCACACACCTTGAGATATAGTTCTAAGGTCTCAGTATAGTCACAACGGCTGCCCCACCCTTCAAACCGAAACGCATTACTGCTTCACGGCAGAAATAGGCGGGGCGGTGGTACCTACCCGTGCGGAGTCACAAGAGGTACCACCAGTAATTACGCAAATTATAATTTTGCGGGTTTGATTTTTATTGCACGATGTTATTCCTTCACCGTGGAAGTCAATCGTGAACATTTGTTGAGTACGTATTTCATTAGAAAAATTGGTACCCGCCAGCGAGATTCGAACACCCGTGCATCGCTCGATACGAATGCACCGGACATCTTATCCTTTAGGCCACGACGACTTCCACGGTAAAGGAACAGCATCGTGTTATAAATCAATCAAACACGCATTTTTACACGCATAATTACACGGGCAGGTACCACCACCCTGCCTATTTCGGCCGTGAAGCAGTAATGCGTTTCGGTTTGAAGGGTGGGGCAGCCGTTGTATTGTAAAAAACTGAGCCATAGAATTGATGTCTCAAGGTAAGGGCGCCATTTTCGTTCTTAATGTCTTTGATCTCCGATATCCACTGAACACCATCAAGTGGGCCGTGAACTCATCCTCCTATCTATATTTTTTTAATATTATAAAACTGAAGAGTTTGATCGTTTGAACGCGCTAATCTCAGGAACTACTGGTGTGATTTGAAAAATTCTTTCAGTGTTAGATGGCCGATTTGTCGAGGAAGGCTATAGGCAGGCTATATAACATCACGCTAACGTAAGAGCACCAATAAAGAATGTTTCAAAATAGTGGTTTAAATAGCTCCTTAACATTCTGTAATTCAAAAATATTTTCACTTTCTACGTAAATGAAGTGGGGGGTAAAATTTAGCGTTATGCCAAAGTAACTATTCCATACGGACGGAGTCGCGGGATAAAGTTAGTCATTCGTATATTCGAGAAAAATTTTTTTTCGAAGCCCTCAATATTTCAACCTTGTGTCTAGAGGCCATCAGCTCACGAGTAAGGAACGGATGACACGTAATCAAGAGATAAATTTACTATTCAGGAAAATAACGTACAAATTCTCGGCATGAAACGTATGATAAATCCTCTTCAAATGACCTTAACTAATAATGTGTTTCTGTGTCACCGTAATGTGTTTTGTTGCGTTATCATTAAGACAGACGATTTGAGGCTCATCAGCATTGTCCCTGACTGAATTATTTGCTTAACCTATCTGCCACTAGCCTCAATTGGATATTCTGGCTACAACATGACTAGTTTTACTGGTGGTAGGACCTCTTGTGAGTCCGCGCGGGTGGGTACCACCACCCTGCCTATTTCTGCCGTGAAGCAGTAATGCGTTTCGGTTTGAAGGGTGGGGCAGCCGTTGTAACTATACTTGAGACCTTAGAACTTGTATCTGAAGGTGTGTGGCGCATTTACGTTGTAGATGTCTATGGGCTCCAGTAACCACTCAACACCAGGTGGGCTGTGAGCTCGTCCATCCATCTAAGCAATAAATAAAAAAAGTAGGCAAACATAAGGGGCTCAGTCTGGGAAGGCTTGCCAACATATATTGTCCTAGCAAGAGCAATGTTTCGCTGAACCTACCACGGGATAGGAATCACAACCCACTGAGAAAATCCGGCGAGAAAATTAGTGGGTTGTGTCTGTGGGTGCCAGATTGAAAACTTCTGGATCTCAGAATAGCCAAAGCCTTCCGGAGGTTCGAACTGTATCAGACAAAGGCCTCATGGCCAAAACTAACGATCTAAACGAAATTATAAAAGATACTACGGAAGGGCAGTCCACTGAATTAGTAAAGCGGAAATGTAGACTAGATTTAGAAATAGCTTAAAAGAAACAGTTGTAGCAGTAACTATCACAGAACAAAAGATATCAGACATATGCCTGACGACATTTTAAATAGATTATCAATAAATATTTAAATTAAACAAGATTCGAACATTCGAGCCATCAGTCTATCAAACGAAATCACCCGATCGGTGGATGATCTTCTCTTTTTCTTGATCTACAAATTTTGAAGTAGATTCCTCTAAATCTGCACTCAAATAACTATTCTGAATGAACATTAGTAACAGCTACCCGAACTAACACACGCTTTATCTATTGTATTTCAATTTTAAAATTTCAAATCTCCAAACCTTTTGTAATAATAAATGTAACAAGTAACAGAACATCTGAGTTGACTACAAAAATCGGAGAAGGTTCTAGTTTCGATTGTATGTATTCGTAATAGGGATTAAACTATGAAATTGTCGATTTGTACTAAAAAATTGAAATGCGTTTTTATTTTTCATTTGACATCTTTATTTAATCAAAATATCTACTAATATTATCTACTTATACACATTGCTGCCATCTAATAGGAAGGTAATTTATCCTTTGCGATAGAACTCTGTTGATCTAGATTCAACAAACTGTGTGAAAGCATTTTTTGCTGCCTCCTGGGAAGAAAACTTATTATCGCGTAGGAAATTGTCCATTCAAAAATCACTCGAATTACGAAGTATCCATCTCTCTTGTCTCGTTGTCTCAGCTGAATAAAAAAACAACTGAAATTTGATTATCGAATAATGCATATTTTTTAAAAAAAGAACCCCATAGGTACCATGAAAAAAGTTTCACTCAAAAATCTTAAACCATGAAGGTTCTGTACCAATTCGAAGTACCAATTACAATAAAACGGCAATTTCATACTTTAACCTCTATTATTTTTAGTGTATGTACATCCATATTTCATTAATTTTATTCATAAAATTCTTATCTTTTTCCCATTGAAAACGTATACCGCTCGGAATAATCCCATTATTAAGTTTTATGTATGTATTTCAATGAAAAAAATATATAATATTTTTAAATCTTCGGGCTTGTAAGAGTCGTTATTGAATGCAGTAACCGTGACAGTCGTAACAATAAAAAACGAAAATTAAATGGTGTTGATTGACGTTACAAAGGTTTGAACGTGGACTGTTTGGGTAGATTGAAAATAAATTAAATCTATATACATATAAATGAATTGCTGTTCGTTAGTCTCGCTAAAACTCTAGAACGGCTGGACCGATTTGGCTAATTTTGGTCCTGAATTATTTGTGGAAGTCCAGAGAAGGTTTAAAAGGTAGATAAATATGATAATGCTCGAAATTAAATAAAAATAACAATTTTGTTTTTCCTTTGATGTGTCCCCCGTCGGACAGATTGCTTTTGTTTGTTTTAAGTTTATTTTATACAAAAGTTTAGATATTTTATTTATCGATTGAGGCACTACGAAGTCTGCCGGGTCAGCTAGGAAAAAATTAAAATTAAAACCGAAATTAAAACAACGATTTTTTTTTTATTGACAAGAAGTTAGATTGGACGACTGGTGGTAGGACGTATTGTGAGTCCGCACGGGTCCTTCACTGCCATGAAGCAGTAATGCGTCTCGGTTTGAAGGGCGGGGCACTATACTGTTACAAGTGAGCCCTTAGAACTTATGTCTCAAGGTGGGTGGGGGTATTTACGTTGTAAATGTCTATGGGCTCCGGTAACCACTCATCACTAGATGGGCTGTGGCCTCGTCCACCCATCTAAGCAATAAAAAAAAAAATTGTTATCAGCGTGCCCGCTGGAAATTATAGCAAATGGAAGGAGTTTTTATCAGCGGTAGGGGGTAGTGAGGTTGCACTGGAAGGTACATCCAACAATTGTGAGAAGCCACTTGCAGGCGAACGTGCAACATTAACGCTTCGCCATATATATATATATATATTTTTTTTTTAAATAACAATCACACCACGTTAACTGGTCCCGTGATAAGTTCGTAAAGAACTTGTGTTACAGGTACCAGATAACGGAAATAAATGTAAGATTTTTATTATACACATACATATATATAATATACATCCATAACCCTGGAAAAGACATTTATATTTATCATACAAATATCTTCCCTTGGCGGGATTCGAACCCGCAGCCCCCTTGTGTAGTGACCATCACTTACCACTACACCAGACGGCCGTTAAATTATATTGTGTATATATCATCTTCAGTGTAAACATTCAAAAACTTCGTATTTTCTATAGCTTACAAAGTATATTGAATGAGTTTTGTAAATTGTTTATTATATAGCGAGACACGAATTAGTAATTAGCATCAATTATCATTTGCGATGCGAAATACTATTTTATTGCGATACTAATTGCACTGGCAGGCCACATCGTGAAGTTCCAACATGAAGTTCTTATTTATATGCGGTTTGTCTCGGATTAATACTCTATTACATTTACTCTACGCTACAATTTCAATCATCCACAGATGAGTAAGATCTTCGCGGCGCTACGTCGCTGCAAAAAGCTGGACGACAACGACAACACCACCCAGCTGTCCAGATGCCTTGGACTATTCGACCTCACCTCGCTAGGAGTCGGGAGTACCCTCGGTTTAGGAGTGTACGTGTTAGCCGGTGCTGTCGCCAAGACCGTTGCTGGACCGGCGGTTACCCTCAGCTTTTTGGTGGCAGCCATTGCTTCTGCTTTTGCTGGTGAGTGTGACTAATATTGTGTGTGTCTGAGTGATACTGCCATAATAAAGGCTGGCTGTCAGCGCCTAAAACTTTTGATTATCTATAAAAAGTCCAAACAACTAATCATATGATAGCATTCACCATAATCGGTTGCTCTTGGCAGAACAGTCGTGGTCATGTGGAATTCTTGCTTATTAAAACCTTGATAGATGTTTTCCATAGTTATTCCATATTATTATGATAGCACAAGAGCATTTAAAGACATTTAAAGTCTCCTCATCTTATGATAGACCAGATGTAGCTATGTTGGTTTCAAACGGCAGATGAATACGTCATTTAGCTGCCTAATGAAAAAAGGTCGCTAGCACTGGCTCAAGAAAATCGTAACGCGAAATTTAAAACAGTCATCGTACCTTATCATCGCGTAATTGGTATTTAAAAACTTTTGAATCGTTTTTGGCATTGACAACACCTGGTTTGTAACTGATCCTCTCCAAAAGAGCCCTCTTAGCAATGAAACCGCTAGTTGTAGTTGTAATAACTGTCATCATGAATATTTGCTCATTGCAAGTGTGTTAAAAAATATTTTTAAAAATGGTTGGAACATGTGGCGACTCCTCGAAGATAAGCGTAGAGAAATTTTAAAACCAAGAGTAAATTAACAATCCCAGCGTTTCTCCCATAGAATTAAGAACAACTTCTTTCTCCCCCAGGGTTATGTTACGCAGAATTCGCTTCAAGAGTTCCGAAAGCCGGTTCGGCTTACATCTACAGTTATGTGAGCGTCGGGGAGTTCATCGCGTTCACGATTGGTTGGAACCTGATCTTGGAATACGCTATAGGAACAGCCAGCGTCGCCAAAGGCATGGCGGTATACATTGACACTCTCTTCAACAACACGATGGCGAGGACGATGACGGCCGCAGCTCCGATCAATGTGTCCTTCTTGGCTGACTACCCTGATTTCTTTGCGTTTGGTCTAGTTATTTTAATAACTCGTGAGTAACCTTTTACAAAAAATTGTTATCGATAAAATAACAATGAAATTGTTGTAATCATCCCTCAAAATACAAAGGAACGCAAGCTTCCTTTGCCCTTAATATAGTTATGGGTTGAAATATATTAGATTTAGATAGATAGTGGTATTGATTCTCATATTCAAATTTGTAGTTGTAACAAAAATATATCACATATATTTTTATAACCTGATTTTTTTCCTTCATCATGGTACCATAGTTGGTACTTATTCATACCTAATGGCATAATAAAAGTGGGTAGTGAGCTCTCGAATTTGTGTATCTATTTCTACTGTATTCCAACTGGTCATTACTACAATCCAACTAAGACTTCAACCACATTTTTCAAACTAGGTGTTGACATTCAAGACGCATTGCTTCAAGGCTGTGACCACTAAAGAGCATTGAGATAACTCTTGCATCAGCTCTAACGCTAGGATCAGGTTTAGGGACCCCCAGTAACCCTACTCTTCGAACTCGGCAAAGAGTTCGACGTGCAACCTAACCCTTGCATCAGCCCGCTAAGTTTCTCGCCGGATCTTCTCAGCGGGTCACGTTTCCGATCCGGTAGTAGATTCATTCGGGAAGCAGTTTCTGTTGAGTTGTTTGGTACCATTTGGAAGCGCTCGGGCAGCTTTAAGCAAATCCCATTCCTCCTCATGCCTTGGTGAAACTGGAAAGGCCTCTGGGCCACCAGTAATCCCTCATTCATAAAAAAAAGGACTGAGATCTACCCACACAAAACAGCCAAAAATTCAATCAGAATTGATAGAAGTAAGCTGTAATGTTATTCAAATGTCTCTTCTAGTCCTGCTCGGTATTGGAGTTAGCGAATCTACGAAGCTAAACAACGTGTTCACGGCCCTCAATATGACAACCGTCATAATTGTTGTCGTCGCTGGAGCTATCAAAAGTAAATATACATCATTTCTTATTATTCTTATTATTATTGGTGGTTTTTCAATCAGTATTTTTAAAGCAGTCGATCGTTTTTTATTTATTTATTTAATAGCTACTTTAATTTTGTTAAGTTGCTAAGTATTGACGAGTTTTGGGATGAATGGAAACAATTTTATTTTAACTTTTACAAGCTTTTTTTATTAAAAACAGAATATGTATGTAATTCATGAAATGAACCGTAATGTTGAGATGTCAGAGATTATGGTAGATCCTCGATCGTTGGTTTGCCATTTTTTTACAACTACCACATGGCGGACACTTGAGCCTAGTTCGAAATTTTAGTGAATACGTAATGAAAATCGTTGAAATATAATTTTCTTTATCTAAATTAGAAAAAAAAAAATCGACCAAAATCCAGATGCAGTGACAAAATTCTATTATACTCGTAATAGTTAATATTATAAAGCTGAAGAGTTTGTTTATTTGAACGCGCTAATCTCAGGAATGACTGGGCCGATTTGAAAAATTCTTTCAGTGTTAGATAGCCCATTTATTGAGGAAGGCTGTAGGTTATATAACATCACGGTAAGGCCAATACAAGTGGAGCACCAATAAAGAATGTTTCAAAATAGGGGGTTAAATAGCTCCATAACATTCTATAATTCAAATGTATTTTGACTTTCTACGTGGAGTGTAGGTAAAATTTTGCGTTATGCCCAACGTAACTATTCCACGCGGACGGAGTCGCGGGCAAAAGCTAGTTATAATATATACGGTGTATGTAAAACTATACTTGAGTCGACTATTATCAAAGCCGGCAATCTGACTTTTGGACAATGATTGGTAAATCAGAAAAACGAATTATTGACTTTGTATTCCATTGGCAGTCACAAAACTCTTCGGAACGACATCTTAGATAAATAACAGGTTAACTATTAACCTTTATTTAATGCTGGTTTTGAACCGTATTCTTTGAAGGAGACGATTATATTCAAATAAATCTGTATTGACATATCAATAAATTGTTTTTGTCCAAATGCACAGATTGCCACCTTTGATAATAGACGACTCACTTAAACAATTCTTAACTTTTTTTCGTAAAAATTTAAATCTCGTACTAATTACATTAGTATCTATGTTACTGTATTAGCTACAACGTATTCTTCTATACATTTTTTTAACTTTAATGAAGGCTTTGTCACTACTCTATGGAAACACAGCTTAATTATCAATTAACATCAGAAATCACGTTGCTTATCTAAACCATAAAACACTATCAAATATTTTTAAAAGTGGTTTCTGATGGTGTAAGAAGAGAATTAAACGAAAATTTCCGTGACATAAAAAAAGAACAATGGGAAACATTTTAAATTTTAATTTTCTGCTTATCTCAACTTTATTTTCATATTTTTAAATCAATTCAATAATATTATTTACACATTAAATAACAAAATAACATTTCTCACTAACACATTTATCTAAATACAGCAATGATGCCAAACCGTCTGTAAAGTAAGCTGATTGGTAATAAAACATTATCTTATCGGATTTTAATGTCCATAATGTAAAATTCTAGTTTTTAATCTTGTTTTCTTCTTTCGGAGATAATATTTAACTCGCTTTTTCTAGTTAATATTAAAAGGTTAATCATTTGATTATTGGAATGTTTATTTATTTTTGGAAACGCTTCAAAACCGCTATATGGACATGTGATGAGTCGAAATGACAATAAGGTTGTTAAGAGAGTTTTAACTATGAATATGGAAGGCTTTAGAGGTAGAGGTAGACCTATGAAAAAATTATGGATTGCGTAAAAAACGATATGTGTAAGAGAAGAGTGAGCGAAGAAATTGTATATGATAGAGGAGTATGGAAGGAGAAAACATGTTGCGCCGACCCTAGGTGATTGGGAGAAGGACAGGAGAATGATGATGATGGAAACGCTTAAAAAAATGCTAAGCAGAATTGAGCTGGCTGAAAGCTAGCGAAGCTGTTACCAATAAATATACATCGTATAATGAAATACGTACTCAACAAATGTTCACGATTGACTTCCACGGTGAAGGAATAACATCGTGTAATAAAAATATAAAAATGAAACCCGCAAAATTATAATTTGCGTAATTACTGGTGGTAGGACCTCTCGTGAGTCCGCGCGGGTGGGTACCACCACCCTGCCTATTTCTGCCGTGAAGCAGTAATGCGTTTAGGTTTGAAGGGTAGGGCAGCCGTTGTAACTATACTTGAGACCTTAGAACTTATATCTCAAGGTGGGTGGCGCATTTACGTTGTGGATGTCTATGGGCACCAGGTGGGCTGTGAGCTCGTCCTCACATCTAGGCAATAAAAAATAAAACAACGCCTTGAGACAAATGACTGAGGTCGGAACGGTAATGGAAATGATGTCGTGCTTACTGACGTCAATCGCTAATTGAAGTAATAATTACCTATATGATTTAAGTAATTGCAATTTTAATTGACTAGTAAAGATCCGAAAAATATACAAATATACAGCTTTTGGCGTAGAAAAACTTTTAGTATTTTTGTTTAGGGCGAATATGAAAAATGTCGTCGTTATTCAATATAGTGTGCTCTCTATATATTGTGAAAATGGAAGGCTTTATTTGACCGCGAAACAGGTTTGCATTTGTTTTTGATAGGACAAAAATGACAGTCAGCACGTTAGTTTTATTTAAAATTACTAAGCTATCCTACCATTCAAACCAAAACAATAGAGGGCATATCAATAACACTCGAACTATTCTCCTGATTGAGACGCACATAAATTTTAGGCAGTGGCTTGTCTCTGCCCCTGGCATTGTTGACGTCCATGAGCGACGGTGACCACTTACCATCAGGTGGGCCGTATGCTTGTCTGCCTAAAAAAGCAATAAAAAAAACCACGCGATCCTCGTGATAATAAAATAATAATTTGCACCAGGTAACCCAGCTAACTGGAACATCAAGCTGGCCGATATCCCACCCGAGTACGTGAGTCAAGCCGGCGAAGGAGGCTTTATGCCGTGGGGGGTGGCGGGCGTCATGGCGGGGGCGGCTAAATGCTTCTTCGGCTTCGTCGGCTTCGACTGCGTGGCCACCACGGGGGAAGAGGCCAAGAACCCGAAAAGAGACATACCTCTATCAATAGTTCTGTCTCTGATCATAATATTCTTGTCATATTTCTCCATCGCCACAGTGCTCACCATGATGCTGCCCTATTATTTGCAGGTGAGGATTTTCAATCGGTCAATTCATACGTGCTATTACATTAGGTCCACACTACCCTATCGTAACGATCGACGATCCCAGGAAATCAGATATTTTGCACGGTATTAGGTTTCATTTTGTATTTTTCATAGAGAATGTTGCAAAAAGCATTAAAAAGGCCTCAATCCTAGCCTTTTCTTTTCCGAGGAAATATATAATTTATTTAACAGTGGACGCTAGAGGACTAATGTGATGATCTAGGGTCCAAACATAATGTAGAATTAAATAGAATTAAGGATTAGATCGTGCATGATTATCCCAGCGATAACCAACATGATTCAGAGAACTAAACAGAGAACATTTAGCGATAAGACCGCCTATTGTACAAATTTATCTGTTTTTTGATTGTTTTTTTGAATGTAAATTGTGTTTTGGTGTGCAATAAAGTGTATTCTCTCTCTCTCTCTCTCTCTAAACAGTGTCCCGCTTACTTACTGATGACATTCAAATCTCGTACCATACTTTGAATCTGCTCTGCCGCTTTGCTGAATGACGCAGATGAGTTGACTTAGTAGCGTTACTTCCTCTACAGAAACCAAACTTTAATTTCACTGTTGTCAAATTTAACAGGACGCGGAGGCTCCATTCCCGTATGTATTCGAACAAGCCAACTTACCAGTGATCAAATGGATAGTGACAGTGGGCGCTATATTTGCTTTGTGCACGAGTCTCCTCGGTGCCATGTTCCCACTCCCGCGGGTGCTGTACGCCATGGCGAGTGACGGGGTGCTGTTCCGACCACTAGCCGCCATAGAACCGAGGACCAAGACCCCATTGTTGGCCACTGCGATTAGCGGATTTCTTTCAGGTTTGAGTTACGAGCTATTTTTCCCCTTCAAAATTTTAAAAAGTCTTATAGAATATAACGCCCGGATAGGCTAAAGAACACTACATTATAGAAGCACGAATTATTCAATAGGTCCAAGGGGCTTTGATGATAGAAACTCTTCTTGAAATACCTCACTATCACTTGGAATAACGACTGACCCTTACACGGTTCATAAACCAAAAAAGAAACCTTTATACCAAACTTCCTACCACAACTAGAAGAATATAGTATATCTTCTTGACCTTAAACACTTATTTTCTACATATTGTAACACTGAAATGTTTTTCTTTTCCAGCAATAATGGCAGCCATGTTTAATCTGAATCAATTGATCGACATGATGTCTATAGGCACCTTGCTAGCGTACACCATCGTTGCAACAAGCGTTCTCATACTCAGGTACGTCAGGTTACGTAGGACTCACACATCTTAATGTTAGCCAATTTTTGAAGTGAAACTTCTAATGCGACTTCCAACAAGGTTGCGTTAAACGTTTAACGCTACCGTACTAGAAAGAGACAGAGCGAGAGTGAATGCGCGGCACTCGAACGCATGCGCGTAGTATATACCTGTTACACGCCAGCGCGAGCGTTAGTAACGAGTAGCGTCCAATATTTTAATGAAGGGCTTAAAATATATATATAGTTTTGTTTTTCTATCTATAATTTAAATAATATATAATATAAATGTTGATTTATGGATGAAAAATGAAGAAAACCACAATACTAAATACACATCGAAAAAGAAGTTTCACTTCATTCACGTGCACCAAGTTGCACGACCGCGGTTTTTTTGTAAATTATATTTTGTAGCTTTTATAGAGAAATCAATATTATTTGACAATAAGAGCATTCTCGATCCAGGTACGAGGAGGAAGATGTATCCGTTAGCACGGAGAAGGTGTCGACGAGCGCGGGGGGTCTGGCGGCGGCGCTGCGTCAGGGTTGCAACCTGCTCGGACTCAAGTACCCCACGCAACTCTCCTCTACCATCGCCAAGACTACAATCGCTCTCTTCTGTGAGTTCACCTCAAAAACCTTGAAACCGTAGAATTGGCAGGATCGTGGTCGTCTACTGACGTCACGCACCTCCTTTTTTTTCCCTACCTAAGCTGATAGCCTTGAGAGGCTATTTCAGCGTAACCTTAGCTAGTAGTGATGCTAACACCGATCCTAGCAAGAGCAGTGCTTCGCAGAATCTACCACCGGATCGGAAACGCGACCCACTGAGAAGATCCGGCGAGAAACTCTGAGCGCACCTCATTGATGTTCATTATGTAATACAGTTGTGGTGGCGCTGGCGGCGTGCGTAGTGTTCCGTGTGGGGGACGAGGTGGGACCGGGAGGCGCAGTGGTGGGAGCGGCACTGGGTGCGGCCCTGGTGGCATTGCTGGTGGTACTGTACCGGCAACCAACTAATAACGTCACACATCTCTCATTTAAGGTAATTACCGTCACAAGGTCATGATTAATATTTCCCCACTGATTAGTGGGATCTGTAAATGTAGCTTTCTGTCAAGAAATTAATTTAAAGTGCAGAAAACATATTCGTTTCCTACATGTTATAAACCACACAAAACAAAAAAAAACCACGTTTGGCACTCGGGGACTGCCGCGGTAAAGCTATTGCATAGCATTTTTTATCAACTTATGCAATTATAATTAGACAATAATAATTTAATATTAGAACAATAATAAAATAAGACCACGCTATGTTTATAAGCATTGACAAACGCAAAACATTAACTGTCCCCTTCACACTCATAAGCTAGACCGCGCGAGAGAGAGATGAGCAGACTTTTCATGATGCACATGCAGTGCGACGTCATGCCGCGCGCTTATTTACAAACACTAAACAAGCGCAACGTGTGAATGTGTTGAACGCGAGCTACATGGTAGGCGGAGTGGGAGGTGTTTGGTTTTATTTTCGTTACGGAATTTCTTGATTCGGTCGCCGCGCTCAAAGCCCGCGACAAAAGCTATGCAATAGCTTATTTAATGATATTAATAATATGTACCACAATTGACGTTCTTTTTTCATAATACTGGAACATGTTTAAAGGTGCCGCTAGTCCCACTTGTCCCATACCTGAGCGTCTGCATGAACGTGTATCTGATGGTCCAATTGGACTACCAGACGTGGGTTCGGTTCATCATATGGCTTGTAATCGGTAAGTTATATCTAATAGTGAAGTGGTACTTTATATCTAAAATGACAATTTAAGAGTCGAGGGCTAAAATTCATTTTAAAGGTTTCTTTTGTGTCTGGATACTCTGACGCTTTATTTAGTTTCTCTTAAAGGACGAACTCCTTAAGGATACGCCGCATCGTATGTTTAATTCCGCCGCAAATGAACAACAGCAATACCGATGGTACAACTAAGTCACTGCCATCGCTAAAATGTGTACTTTCTTACCAAGCGAGAATACCGTGAATCTTTAACTAAGCGTCATACGAGTTCATTGCCCCACGTAGCGGTTGAAGCTTCCATTGCGCGCAATGTAATAGAACATTACTCATATAGATGTAATTTTGCTTAGTGTTATTGTATAGTCATCAACACTACCGACCTTTCTCTGGGACAATTTCAACTAAACGATATATTAACTGATTTTACTCTTTATTCCAGGTTACCTAATTTACTTCTTCTATGGAATCCGTAACAGTTCACTCAATGCTTGGCCGCCCGCCGGTAAACTCGGTGACAAGGATAAAACACAAGTCGTAACAAAGTTTTGATCTGTATTGCTAGAGCACAAGGTTTAATTTGGCTTGGAGGACCGATTTAATTGTTGAAAAACTGAATATTGGAGATATGTACATAATAACTATAATATTAATCCTGTGATTGTTGGACAAGATAAGTTTATCTGTTTATGTAATTTCTTTGCGGAAAATATTTGTGTAAGAAATACTTCATCGGTGTATTTAGAATTACTTAATTTAATTTTTATGAAATACTAAATCAAGCTTTATCACTGCAGACTACAGGGTACTTAAGGCATCTTATAGTGTGGTTATCAGAAACTTTCAAAAATCGCCAATGTGTCTCCTAGAACCTTCACTAATATCTGGACACGACTGCCCAAAAGTGAATGCAATGCTTCGAAAAATCACATACGTGGCTTTATTAATTCCACCATATCCTTATCTTGTTTACTGCCGTGTAGGTCACCGGTGCCCTACGCGGCGCTCTGAAGTAATTATGTCGATTTGTATTACTAAGCGTCTAGATTGCCTAACTTTGCCATCTTTTGTTTTTAATATATCAACGCTTGAAAGGCAAATGTGACTAAGCGACAATGCGTGAACTTTACAGTAGACTAATTAAAAGTTGAAATACCTGAAAAAAATTATACTTTAACGAATCTAGCTGTAATATTGAAATGATTTTAATAGACCTAGAAATATATTTTTTTTGCGCATCGAATATGGTTATTGCCTATGATTTATGTACAAAGCAGTTATTGTCGCTTAGTCACGTTTGCCTTTCAAGCGTCGATATGTTCTAATCTCTAGTCTCTTAGAAATACATTCATTCTCAGATCTTCGAATTCGTCTTTCCCAGAGTCTACTAGACATTCTGGTGCCTTGGTATCAGAAATCGACATAATCACTTCAGCCAACGTGTTAAATGTCTGAACAGATTTGGATTTTGGTAGGCAGCGGCTTGGCTCTGCCCCTGGCATTGCTGAAGTCCATGGGCGACGGTAACCACTCACCATCAGGTGGGCCGTATGCTCATCTGCCTACAAGAGTAATAAAAAAAAATAAAAAATTTTGGAAACATCCGTAAAACATCGCGTAGAAATTGGTTATAAGTTTATGGTAGGCAGTCGTGTTTTTTAGTTTTATAATTATTTAAGGGCGCGTTTGCTACAAATATAAAATATAAAACTTAAAGGAATATAGGATATATAGGATAGCATACGAGGCAGCTCCTATTTCTCGTTGAACGCATCTTCATTGCGTGTGACGTCATTTGAGGCCAAAATGTATGGCGAGTTGACCATCGATCGTATGCTAATAAACACGGATTCGTTTGTGACAATTGATTTTGTGATTGTTGGTTAAATATAGGTTTTATTTATAACATTTACTGGTTAGGAAAAATAGTTTCGATTGACGTTTTAATATGATTAGAATTATGTATTTAGGACTTTTTGTTATTTTTTATTCGGACAAAATCCAAGAATATTGTAAAACATATTATAGCACTATTCCAATCTAATCAGTCACTGACTCGATTGATAGCCTTACATAACCTTATAAATATTGTGATTTACTTCTAATAATCTAAAATATTACAGGCATATGCAAAACGCACACAGCATACATAAATGTACATAAGATACAACGCGGTATTCAATTTCATATCAATATCTATATTTGTATCTATGATTTAAATATTTAGTGGTAAATAAAACTAGATGCTCTGTCCCTTTCTAGCATGTAAGGCGTGACGTCATAGCTGTCTACCATGAAATCAACTTCCGTATCTGCGATCGAGATTTCGTCTTATAAGCTTTAGCACGACCACTGATCGTTTGACTAGTGCTAATGCGTCGGCGGGATGGATATAATATGTTTTGCATAAGCCCTGTCTCATTAACTCCGGACTGGGCTCCGGCCCGGTACGGGGTAGGGCGCCGGCTGTGAGCGGCAGGAGTTTTAGTGTGGTTCAGCTCCCACATAACCCACCCGCTGCGCGGATAGGGATCCGGCGATTTTCTCCTGTGGAAAACAGTGCTAATTCGTATCGAACCTGAACTTGTTGTTACTAACATCTTCCTTCCAATTTCTGCCACAAAGCATCGGTTCGAAAATGAGACAAATTTTATAGGAAACGATGAAGAGTTGTGTTTCAAACTGAGTGACGATATTCACGCATATATGTCGGTAACCATTCAACACTAGGTAGGCATGACTTGTGCCTTTTTTTTCCGGGCTGGAGGCCTAGGGGGCGCGCGGGGTATGTGAGACTCAACGATCTGCAGATGTTGAGAGCAGACCGCGGGCCCAAGGATTTTAGGGCCCACACACTAAACGACTCCCCTGCACTCTTACACCCGACGTCCGATCTCCGTCCGGGGTCAAAACCCGGTCAGAGTCCCCTACTTGTAGGCACGACTTGTGCCTGACCTATCTATGCAATTCTTTTGACACTACAAATAATCTGACATAACGAAACGTCAATGTCAATGGAAATAGTTGTAAGTATAATTTTAATGATAGCCATATTTGATATGTGATTCTGAAATGTGATTTTGTATCGTATGAAAGTTATAGGTTAATATTTTTTTTTTCTATTTTTTATTACCTACCTACTCAGAGTGCATGCGTCACGCTGTAGGGGAACCGATCCCGAAACTAAAATAGTGACCTGTGTGCTTAGTACGAATTTTTTAACGTTCTCGATAGCGTAAAAGTTAACTCAGCTGGAACGTTTGCCTACGGGCGACGGACCGTCGAGGCGATCCGCCCGGTCCTCTCGGACTGGGTGAATCGCGACCGAGGACGTCTCACCTTCCGAGCGACGCAGGTGCTCACGGGACACGGCTGTTTCGGTCGCTACCTGCACCTCGTCGCCCGGAGGGAGCCGACGCCGAAGTGCCACCACTGCAGTGGCTGCAACGAGGACACGGCGGAGCACACGCTCGCGTACTGCCCCGCTTTCGCGGAGCAGCGCCGCGTCCTCGTTGCAAAAATAGGACCGGACTTGTCGCTTCCGACCGTCGTGGCTACGATGCTCGGCAGCGACGAGTCCTGGCAGGCGATGCTCGACTTCTGCGAGTCCACCATCTCGCAGAAGGAGGCGGCGGAACGGGAGAGGGAGAGCTCTTCTTCCCTCTCGGCGCCGTGCCGCCGCCGTCGGGCCGGGGGCCGGAGGAGGGCGTTTGTCCAGCTCCAGCCCCTATGAGGAGGCAGTCTCCTCCCGGTGATGGTCACGGGGCGACCTAAGGGGGTTGAGGCTGCGCCGCACGCTACCGTCACTCTAGCGCGCTGGCACCAGGAGGACGGGACGGCGCGTCGGCGGCTGCGGACTGCGATGCGGTCCGCATTTTCGTCGTCGCTGTCGTCGCCGAACATACTGTTGAAGAGCAACCCGGTCGGCGGTGTATCGCGTTCCGACCCGGCAGGCTGGTTCTGGCCCAGCGGGGTATCCCGGAACACCAGCGGCACCGCCCGGGCGGCCTGGTAGGGCCGCCGTACCGCGGAGACCGACGTCGTTGGTCGTCGACTATCGCCTCGACGACCCGTCGGTCGGGCGTCCTCGGGGTGGCGCCGCGTGTCTGGTTGTAGTGTTGACCGCGGGAACCCCCCTACTCTGAACGGGTTCTGACCCCGGACGGAGATCGGACGTCGGGTGTAAGAGTGCAGGGGAGTCGTTTAGTGGGTGGGCCCTAAAATCCTTGGGCCCGCGATCTGCTCTCAACACCTGCAGATCGTTGAGTCTCACATACCCCGCGCGCCCCCTAGGCGCGGGGACCTCGTAGGAGGTTCGGCCCCCGGCCCGAAAAAAAAAAAAAAAGCTGGAACGTTTGCCTACGTTTCCGCTAGGGGCGCTGTCCCAACTGCATACAAATTTAAGTTAACTTTTACGTGATCGAGAAGTTAAAAAAAACTCACACTAAGCACAAAGCATCTATTACAGGTGGTACCTCTTCTGTCTCCGCACGGGTAGGTACCACTACCCTGCATATTTCTGCTGTCAAGCAGTAATGCGTTTTTGTTTGAAGGGCGGGGCAGCCGTTGTAACAACTCTACTGAGACCTTAGAACTCATATCACAAGGTGGGTGGCGGCATTTACGTTGTAGATGTCTATGTGCTCTGGTAACCGCTTAACACCAGTTGGGCTGTGAGCTCGTCCACCATCTAGGCTATAAAAAACTCTAAATCGTTAAAACGTTAATGTAAGATGAAGGGAAAACCACGTTCACTTTCTAAACGAAATACATTGCTGGCTCACAAAATAACTAAACCCCCCAAACGATACATTAGCGAATACGAATGCGAGCTATTCGGTTTCCGAAACGATTCTCTTTCGCTTATCTGTATATCAGTATCTATTTATTGTACGGTATCAAAAACATAAATACAAAGCCATTCAAACTTAGATTAAAGCATAGAGTGTCACAAGACTTGTTTTGAAGTAGTCTAGAAAAGCGGTGGCAGGTCATTGGCCCGGCTCCTCGCGCGTCGCCTATGTCAATTTTGACAAGTGATCTCTATACTGACTGCGAAACGAAAAGAAAAGAAATCTATATATTAATACGTGAAGCAAAAACTTTGTGTCCCTTTTTACGAAAATTGCGCGGACGGAGGAGTATGAAATTTTCCACACTTATAGAGAATATAGAGAAGAAGTGCACAATGCTAATATTCTTTTAAAATAATGCATAAAAGATACATTAAATCGATAAAGAAAACATTACACACACTACATACCATGTATTTGACGCACACACGCATGCATACTATTTATTGTCAAACTTCTGTTCTTGTCAAATTGAGAATAGATTAAATATTGTTTGTCTTTGTTAATATTTTTTATAGTGTAGTCTTGGCGAAATTTTTGATAGAAGTATAAAACACAATCATAATAGTGTACAAACTTACAATTCCAATTAATTATAGTCGAATTTCGACTACTACGGGATCACTAGTAATTGTAAATAGACATGCTTTAACGAAAACCGACTTCAAATAGAAAAAAAAGATATTCCCTAAACAAATTAATATACATTAAAATCAATAATCATCGAAATCGGTTGGCGTGATATCGAGCTATTCATCTATTTGTCGCTCACGTACATATTGCAAATTTTAGACTTATATGGTTTTCTCATGGATACCATTATCAGAACTGGACTAAATTGAAATGGGGCTACACGGGAAGCGTCAACTATCTAATAAAAAAAGAATTATCAAAATCGATTCACTCGGGAAAAAGTTATGAGGTAACAAACATAAAAAAAACATGCCGTCGAATTGACAACCTCCTCCTTTTTTGAAGTCGGTTAAAAATACACATTGTACTTAACCTGAAGATAGTTTAAATAAATGTGTATACATATTACTAAATCTTAAAATCAAAATTATATAACCTAATTACTTAAAACAATAATTCCACAATTTTGATAATTATGTAATTTATTTATCTATATAGAATATATAAGCACAGTTGAGGATTTGCTCAAACTACTTTCCTATCTTTTCGGGAGTAGAATGGTATTAGCGTTAAAATTAAAATTAGCATAATAATAAACAATAACCGTCTATACATGTTTATATTTTAGATTTACTTAATAATAATAAACAATATATTACAGGGATGAATGTGATACAAAAGATATTTTGTTGTTTAATATAAAAGACGTATGAGACGTATTTATATGAAGTTGAGAAAGTTATTTGTTATATTTACCCAATTATACTATGTTAATGTTACGCACTGGGGTTAAAGATAAATAAAAAAAATTTACCGAAATATAAATTAAAACTGTATTCAACACTTAGAACACTCATAGAACGCTTTAAAATTCTCAATTCACTTCTTCCGCTTCGCTTCAGGTGATCCGTTCGCTGTTTCGAGTAATTCCAATTACTAACTACGTGCCATCTATGCAACGCTTTTATAGTCGATACAACATCCCTAGAATCGTCGAGAACATTCCTCACAATTCGAGTACCTTCGATGGGTGTTTCCGCTATCTGACAATAGATGGCGTTGTACTTCTCGAGCGTTCTAGATGTTACTAGATCCTTCGATATTCGATCGGCTATTCGACGATAGATGCTGTTACTCTTACCGGCGTAACAATAAGATTTGAGGTATTTATCTGTTCCCGGTGACTACATTTTATTAATTATCCTGCGTATTAGGAGTTAAAAAATAAGTTAAACTATAGTAACTATTAAACTATAAGATATTTCGGCTGTATATTCATAATTGACTTTAATTACTCAATCATTATTTGTGTGCATGTGTCTTAGTGAACTTAGTGTGAACTTAGAAACAATTATGTTTATTTTATGTTGTTTAATTAATAAATTTATTAAATATTTATTTTGATATCATTTTAAAAAGGTACATCACTAAGTATGCTTATGTTTGTATTTATATTTTACACGTATATTACGACCGTTCAATGATTTCTTCGTCATTTATGGAGAGATTTCGAAAAAGTTTATTATTATTATGGTAAATGTTAACTTTTATTTTATTGTATTTTAATTTAGTTTTTTTTTTCGATTTTATAATACAGGCATCTGTTAAAAATAATATATTTCCTTTTTCGTTAAAAATAATAATTATGTTTAACAATTAGCTGTCTCGAATACCAAACCTGATTTATTTCAATTTTTGTTTATCCACCATTGGCTATAATTTTAATATGAAACCTTTTTATCTTTAGTAATGCGAAAGATACGTGCGAATGCTTTGTAACCCGAATGCATTTTTTATGTCTATTTTACAAACAATATTCTGTGATCTAAAAACAAAAATAAAAGAATTAAGCATTAACATTAACAAACTTACTTTTATTTTAACCCTCAACCAAATAAATACAGTTAATGAATATCTTATATAAAGTAACAGTAGACGAAATTACTAAGTTGTTCAAAGATAAGTGTCTAAGATTATGTAATCTGTTTCTATCTACCTTATGTCTGCGTTCCAATTATAGTCCAGAATTAAACTGTTTATGGGACTGTAGGACGTTGATTCCGCAAGTGGCGGATGCTAGTTAACACAACGAAAAGCATCGTTGTTCTAATTAAAGGAGAGCTTTTTTTTATTGCTTATATGGGTGGACGAACTGACAGCCCACCTGGTGTTAAGTGGTTACCGGAGCCCATAGACATGTACAACCTAAATGCGCCATCCACCTTGAGATATAAGTTCTAAGGTCTCAGTATAGTTACAACGGCTGCTCCACCCTTCAAAGCGAAACGAATTACTGCTTCACGGTAGAAATAGGCAGGGTGGTGGTACGTACCCGTGCGTACTCGGAAAGGGTCTTACCACCAGTTAAGAGCTCGACGCAAATTACCTCAACTCTGTGAAGCAGTCCCAGAAAGATCAGGACTGCGAGTCGTCCTCGATAGAAAATGGCCTTCCGATGCCACATAAAATCAGTACAGGATTGGGCTGCGTTCATCCTCCGATGATTCTCATCATGATGTGCAAGCGGAGTAAGCCGTTCTTTTTTAATTACCAACGATGCTCACACACCCTTCACCCAAATAGACACCCCAACAAACATACTCACTTCCTTACATCTCACTTCCTTAGGTTAGCCATCGAAGCGACATGGTACGCGAGGAATCTAAAGCTTGAACCAATTCGTAAGCATACCAGCACAGAGTAGCATGCCGCTTCATGCAATGAAGGTGACGATTTTCGATACTCACAGGCAGATATAAATTCTTCTAATGAAAATACGTACATTTTTATTATTAGGTTGATGGGTGGACGAGCTCACAGCCCACCTGGTGTTAAATGGTTACGGGAGCCCATTGACATCTACAATGCCGGCACCCACCTTGAGATATAAGTTCTAAGGTCTCAGTATAGTTACAACGGCTGCCCCACCCTTCAAACCGATACGCATTACTGCTTCACGGCAGAAATAGGCAGAATGGTGGTAATTACCCGTGCGGACTTACAAGACGTCCTACCACCAACAATTACATAAATTATAATTTTGCGGGTTTGATTTTTACTACACGATGTTATTCCTTCACCGTGGAAGTCAATAGTGAACTTCGGTTAAGTATTTCATTAAAAAAAATTGGTACCCGCCAGCCGGACTAAAACACCGGTGCATCGCTAGATACGAATGCACTGGATGGTAACTGGATGTATTATCGTTTAGGCCACGACGACTTCAAACCAGTAAATACCCATTGGCGATTGCAGAACCTTGATACTCAGAGCATGTTGTTGCCTATTCTATGTCGATTCCCTTAATCACCTTTCGCAACATCCACGGGAAGAGGTGTGGTATTCTCGGCCACAACACCACACAGCCATATAATTAGAATCTGATATAAGTTTTCGCAATAATTCGAGCTATTAAATCGCAATAGGATCATTGCAAAACCCCAACCGATCTCAGATAAGTCGCATACGTACTTTGTGAGCTTTCTTGGCAAACAGAGCACGTAGCAATTTGAACACAAAGGTAATGTAAAAAACACAAGTCATTTTGTAAATATTTTCATATAATTAACAAATTGTAATTATTGGTAAGCAATATTTATGATTTACATAAATTTGTCGGTTGATTGGATACGATACAATTCGTTTCGCAGTGCCAGCGCAGCGAATGCTTCCACATTAAGTAGATACCTTTATTATAAGACATCTTTTTAGATTGGAGACCGTAGATTAGTGGCTGCTCAATACAGTTGCGGACTTGGTTCTTGGTTCACAATATAACAATTTCATTTCTTTCAATTTTCATTCAGTGTCCGACAGAAATTAGCGCGCGTCGGTTGTGTGTCTAACATGATGGAATTGTTTTTAAAGTAATTCTCTTTCGTGTTTGTGGAGATCTTTTTTTAAATTTATTCATTGTTTTTGGGGTCGTGAACTTTGTGATTTAATAAGGATTTTTAAAGGTGAGTTTTAAAATTAGCTCTCCCCACTTGTGTAGCGCCAAGCACTGGACCTCACTAGCAGACGATAGATGAGGCATTGCACAGTTTTAGTTATGGTCCTAGGGGTATATGCTGCTCAATCCTTAGACTATCTTCCATACGAATGCGTTCATCCTGAAGGATCGCAAAAAGGACAACAGGCTTTCCACGGTAGGCACGGATTATTTCGGGCCTACGCAAGAAAGCAAGAAAGAATTTTACAAAAAATATTTTTAACGTTGGAGGGAAATGGATCCAGGGGTCAGAGCCTGAGGAATGTAGACCGACCCATAGAAAGTACAAGTGTAAAAGCAACTTGACACGAAAATCAATGACACGCTTCACTTAGCCAATGACAGTCAAAACTTGCGACAAATCGTCTAGTCTCAGTGGAATTGAACACAGTGAGCGCGGCAAGGCGAGCCTTAAGGAGAATGTGTTGTAGAAACTGTTTCTACAACGCTTTATTAAGCCTTACATAACATTGTCAAAATCTTCAAACAACCGGTATAAACAAGAGATGATGCAACCCGTACTGTTAAAATTGTACATGAGACGTTTTCTCTATTTCTTTTTATTCCTTAGATAGGTGGACGAGCTCACAGCCCACCTGGTGTTAAATGGTCACTGGAACCCATAGACACCTACAACGTAAATGCGCCACCCACCTTGTGGTATAAATTCTAAGGTCTCAAGTATAGTTATAACGGCTGCCCCACCCTTCAAACCGAAACGCATTACTGCTTCACACCAGAAATAGGCAGGGTGGTGGTACCTACTCGCGCGGACTCACAAGAGATCCTACCACCAGTAATTACGTAAATTATAATTTTGTGGGTTTGATTTTGATTACACAATGTTATTCCTTCACCGTGGAAGTCAATCGTGAACATTTGTTGAGTACGTATTTCATTAGAAAAATTGGTACCCGGCTGGAATTCGAGCATCGGTGCATCTCTCAACACGAATGCAGCGGACGTCTTATCCCTTAGGCCACGACGACTTCAGGTCTATCAGTCTAGTCTAGTCTAGCTTCAAAGTTCCAAATAAACTACGTGGCTAAACCGGTTCTTTTGTCGGCCATGAACAGTTAAATAAACAATTAATAAATATGGTAACCATATAAAAAAGTAAATCAAACAAAGTCTGTCTGTCTGCGAATAATTACAGTAAAATCCACTAATACAATACAAACATGTCATTGTACAAAGTAAACACGCATGATACAGATCGTAAGAAATATACGTGTTTTTTATCATTAGCATTTGAAGTACAAGTGTGCAAGACTTGCTCAATTCCGTCTCGTCTCACTTGTGTTAGGACTTATACTTGTGGCCTCAATGCGCAAGGAGTTTTGCCGCGAAGATAGGCTATATAAGCCATCTTCGAGCGCACGAGCGCCAAATCGACGGATAGGAGTCAAAGTGGTCGCCATGACCGAAATCGGTCGAATGAATCATCATACTTGTGGCAAAGCAAACCATTCATATACTAATTTCTTGCCTGTTTCTATTGCGAAACACTCATGTCTTCTGATTTTAAGGGTTGTTTTAGGCATCGTAGAATTTAAGGAAGATCCAATCAACTCGATAGAAAGCATTATCAATGTAACTTTTTATAAAACTGATGCGGAGGATATATTTAATTACAACTACTGGCTTACCGGTGGTAGGACCTCTTGTGAGTCCGCACGGGTAGGTACCACCGCCCCGCTTATTTCTGCCGTGAAGCAGTAATGCGTTTCGGTTTGAAGGGTGGGGCAGCCGTTGTAACTATACTGAGACCTTAGAACTTATATCTCAAGGTGTGTGGCGCATTTACGTTGTAGATGTCTATGGGTTCCAGTAACCACTTAACACCAGGTGGGATGTGAGCTCGTCCACATATCTAGGCAATACAAAAAAAAAAAACTCCGGTTTATCAACTAAAACATCCATAGGCGTCGAGTTTTCCACGGTACTAAAAAAGGAAGCTGTATTCAAGACAGTGAAATAATTCAGACATACACCTGTCCCTTCTATTTCACTTTCATATTCCTTGTTTACCTATGCCACTAACACTCCACACGGATATACACATTATTATATATTATTTAGCTAGCACACGTAACTGTACTAAATATATTCACATACATTTAGCCATTCAAATACAAATATTATACTTCAAATCTGTATAAAAAAAATGATCGAGTAGAGATAATATGTTATTGTAATTCACGCAAAGCCTATTGGATTTGTGTTTTATTGGTATCACTTCTAAGACGCATGATCCCACAGACACAGCCCACTGAGTTTCTCGCCGGATCTTTTCAGTGGGTCGCGTTTCCGATCCGGTGGTAGATTCTGCGAAGCACGGCTCTTGCTAGGGTCAGTGTTAGCATCACTCCGGTTTGAGCACCGTGAGCTCACCTACTAGCTAAGGTTACGCTGAAATAGCCTTTCAAGGCTATCAGCTTAGGTAGGAAAAAAAACGCATGATTCTCATCTAAAAGAAACTCATCATTATTATCTTCATTTAATCTTCGTTTGTAAGTTATTTGATGTGAAAGTAATCACAAGCCAAATATTCGTATTCAACCTAACGCGACTTCATAATGGATATTTAAAGTGTACACTATATATCATCGTATGATGCTGTGAATGGTTGATTGGTCCCTCCCGGCTGGGCTTGTGTTCGCCCTCCTGTCCTGGTGAAACTGGAAAGACCACCGAGCCACCAGTAATCCATCAATCATTAAAAAATTTGGTTGTATTACCTATGTTCAAAAACATACCTGGCTGCCTAGAGACAGTCCATTTATCCATAAAAGCCATTCAATGAATAAAAAAAGTATGCAAATTGACATAGATAGTTAAAATAAAATAAAAAAATTCAGAAACAAGTCCATATGAGTACATAGAATAATTGTTATATTGTTAAAGAAATAATTAATTTTGTTTAATAAACATTAATATTAAATAAATATGATTAATAAAACAATTTCAGAATGAACAGCAGTCGACCCCAATGACACACATATCATTTTTAACTACTCCAATAGTAACATAAAATAATTCATTTTTTCTCTACTTTCCCTATACGCTTTTTTTTTCTACCCGTGCTGATAGCCTTAAGAGGCTATTTCAGATTCTGCTTGACGTGTAGGTGAGCTCACGGGACTCAAACCGGAGTGTTACTAACACTGGCCCTAGCAAAAGCAGTGGTTCGCAGAATCTACCACCGCATCAGAAACGCGATCCACTGAGAAGATCCGGCGAGTAACTCAGTGGGCTATGTATATGGGTTAATTTACTCGTCGAGCTCTTCGTCGCAAACGACGGGTTCGACGAGGACGGTGACCGGTGTTTGAGGTACCTAAAAACACCGTTAATGGATCGGGAGGATCCGTAATAACGTGTTTAAGGTCCTATTCGCTGGTAGTCTAAAGAAGTATTCCAGCGACGCTGTGTCCACTAGGTGAACGAATAACACTTAATATTAAATGTATTTATCGCAGCTTAGACGACCGTTCGTTTTAAAAAAAAACCCGTTAGAATTGCTATAAATTTACTATAAACAGGATGTTCGCTGTCTCACCACTAGTCTTAGTAACAAATTGATAATTAAATACTTTAGACTTTAGACTTTTAACTACTATCCATAATCATTTAAAAAATTCACACGTATTGAGAAAACGACATTTATTGTAGGTGTTAGTTGGCTGTCTGTAAAAGTTTAGATATGTTATATTTTGTATATACAGTATAGATATAGTAACTATACTAAGACCTTGAACTCGTATCTCAAGGTGGGTGGCGGCATTTACGTTGTAGATTTCTATGGGCTCCGGTAACCTCTTAACACCAGGTGGGCCGTGAGCTCGTCCATCGACGAAAGCAATAACAAAAAAAATGTATATATTATTATACTATTATAAATCTAATAATATTATAGACCCATTTCTTGCATATCTCCAAATAAGTTTATGATCCGTCGAAGAGTACAAAACTGTTGCTGTTAATGGAGGTATCAATCAACATTGATGTAAAACGTCTCTACAATGATCATAAGAGCCACAACAGTATCTCAACCTCTTGTAACCCGGCCTTGTAACTCCTTGTAATAAAACCCGGTGGAATCCCAAAAACTATTTTTTAATCTAAACAACTTTTATGACATCACGGCTCTAAGTCATAGGAAGTCCTGGAATAGAGTTTCAAGGACAGTCGTTAACCATAAGCCCGTGCTGGATCAAACCCTGTCCAGAAGATATAAGCCGCTACAGCCAACGGTGATGGAACCATTACTAATATCGTCATCGAGTTTTGAAATTGCTTCTGTGGGCTACAAACAATTTTTTCTGACGAGTAATATCTTACAAAATAATATGCTTTACAAACAAAAAAAAACAATAAATTCAAGAGCATTCGGTTCGAATTTGTTATGACGCAAATATCCAAATCCCTCCTTTTGTTTCTGAACCACCGATGCTATACAAACACGCGATATATTCTCATAATATTTCGTTCACCAAACTGAGAAGTTCCATCCAGTGAACAGAAACAATGATTAGAACAGATTAGAACATTACATTTTCAAACGGTGCAATTAGAACACAAAACCCCACCTTCAGGAATTGTAAAGAACAATCTCTGATATTTTTATTCCCTGATTTTTCTCTAATCAAACTAAAATTAAATAATTGTGTAGTTTTGAGCAAAGCTGTATGACAGTCTCAAAAAACTAGCAAATTAGCCACGAAAAAACCGGTCTAACGCTTCCGTTATTGTATATATTATACACATATTATTCTACCTACTACAAATTATATACATCTTATAACCTTTAGATCATTCATTTACAACACATCAAATACTTTCAGTTCAGACACGGAAGCTTAAAGACAAAACTAGTTTGTTGATGTTTTTTTGTTTGTGTTTTAACACAATATAAACACCTAACGGTTTCTTAGGCTTCAAAGGTGAACAAGTTTTTGCTTCTTT